TGAATAAATTAACTTTGTAATAATTGAAAAGATCCACTCATAATGATGAGCGATTAAAAACGCGAAAATCCTAAAAGTGCCGACTACTGGTACACTTACCCTATGTGATAGTTTTTAGAAATCGCTACCCTGTCTATAAGTATTGAAAATTGCGACCCTTTGTGGGTGAGGTACAAGAAGGGATTCTCAGATATATATCATCTTCACAACAGTATGATGTATGATATTTGTGGGGGAGGTACTAGAAGAAATTGACCGATCTTTACCATCTTTATAACAGATTTTGCGTTGGATGGGAATACTGAGCTGTACCAAGTCTGAATGGAATCGGATGTTAATTTCTCGTTTTATGATCTTCATGGATTTTCAAAAATTTGACACCTTGTTGAGGAGGTACCGGGAGGAGTGGACCGATATATCTCATCTTCTCAGCGGATCATAAGTTAGTATTATTATTTATATGTCTAAAATGTCGTATTTTATAATTGTTTTCGTTATTCAAAACGTTGACTCTTTCTGCGGGGGGTACCTGCAGAAGGAATGGTGCGAACCCTACCTTCTTTATAACAGATATTGAGTTGATGGAAATATTTAGATATGCCAAATCTGAAGGCAACCGGGTATTCATTTGGCGTTTTAAGAGCTTCATGGTTATTCTAATTTTGACATGGACATGGGATGGATTTGCCAGAAGAAGGGGACCGATATATCCCGATATAGCGGATCTTGTGTTAGTATTATTATTTATATGTCTGAAATATGAGGAGAACCGAATGCTTATTTCGGATTTTATAATCGTTTTGGTTATTCAAAACTTTGATTCCTTCTGGGGGAGGTACCAGAAAGAATGGTGCGAACCCTACCATCTTTATAACAGATATTGAGTTAATGGAAATATTATAATATGACAAGTCTGAATGCAATCGGTTATAAAATTGGCATTTTATAAGCTTCATGGATATTCCAAATTTTGACCCTTGGTGGTTGAGGTAATAGAAGGAGTGGCCGATATATTCCATCTTCACAGCAGACCTTCGGTTAATAAGAAGATTGCGATTTGTGCAAATTGAAGACAATCGGGCTATAACGTCTCATTTTATAAGAATTATAATTATTCAAAATTTTGAACCTTTGTGGGAGAGGCACTTGATGGAATGGACCGATATTATCCATTTTTGCACCTGACCTAGAACAGATGCAAATATTACGATTTGCAAAGTTAGAGCAAAATTGGGTTACTACTTCCCTTTCTGCGCAGAAAATTTCTTTTTTTTTGAAAATGTTTACTTTTTGTGAGGGTGGTACTAGGAGGAGTGGGCCGATATATACAATATTAGGGTTAATATAAATATTTGGATGTGTGAAATTTGAATACAATCGGTCTTTTACATCACATTTTATAAAAGTTGTAATTATTTAAAAATTTGATCCTTTTTTTGGGAGGTACTTGATGGAGTGGACCGATTTTGTACATTTTCGCACCGGACCTAGTACTGATGCAAATAGTAGGATTTGCTTTCTGTGCAGTAAATTTTTTTGTTAAATGACGACCTTTTGTGGGGAATCACCAGAAGGAGTGGACCGATATTGTCCATCTCTAAACTCAATCTAAGTTTGATAATAATATAATGATGTACCAATTTCGGACCATATCGGATACTACCTTCGAAAGTTATCGTGCGCACCAACCAGACAGACGGACGGAAATCGCTAGATCGACTCCAAATGTTCTGAAACGGATTTAGTTCAAAGAATCCCAGGGTCTAAAACCGTTATAGCGATGAGGCACATTTTGGCCGTATCAAATAATATATACCCTTTCTAGCCATATGACTGACTGATGGTATAAAAAGCATTTATAACAATGAATTGTTGGACCTCAATTAGAATAATATGTAAGGTGTTTTAAGCATATATTTGCAGTTCAAATTATATATCACATATTGCAAAACGTTCCTCCACACTGCTTTTTGAACTACATTGCAATCTGTTTCATTTTGCTCGAATAGTATGTGATTGTCGTGTGCTCGGAAAAGTAAATACCAATAGAAATTGGATTTTTATTGATAAATAATCTAATTAAAGTTGGTATTCATTACAAAATAGTCATTAAATTCACCATTCATTTGGTTATTGGTGGCATTTCAACACTTTTTGCAGAGAGAGTGAAGAAGAGAAACAAAGGGAGCATCGCTTCAGCATGTAAATGTACATTTTCGAGTAGGAAATGTTTGTTGGCTTTTAAATACATTGTCATTTTGGAATAATTATTGTGGTAATTTCAATATAGATATTGCTGTTCTATTTGGAAAGCCTATTGTTTCACATTGCAATAGCTTTTGGCATTCAAACTGATAGTTTTTGGAAATTTGTGCTTAAATTGCTAATTGTATATGAATGGCTGAGTGTGATGTCAAATGTTGAGCTGATTTAATTAATGGAGTTTTGACAAAAAATATTGAGATTTTATTTCAGAAATAATTCCACAAAAGCAAATATATTTGTATAATCTATTGCAGAATGTTCCCTTGTCGAAATGAAGTTTTCGGTTTCTTTTTTTGTTTATCCAAAAAAATCTATTTCTAGGGTCTTCAACGGCGGCGGAAAGAGAGACACATCGTTATGTTCTCCCATTGCCTTGTGGCTACACAGGGCTTAAATCATTTGATATTGACAAGATGTGTCTCATCGAAAGACAGTTTTAGACCATGGATCCGTTTCTGGACAATGTGAAATTTACTCATTTTTACGCATTACGAAATTTAAATACAAAATTTGAGAAAATTCTGCCAAAAATTATGGTTAATTTCATCAAAATTGAAAAAATTCCGGTGCACAATGACGCTTGTATCATTAAAATAGCGAATAAATTGAGACGTCGTTATATGTGGGCGATATGAAGAAGTGGACCTGCATAGACAACTCCTTCTGAATTTTTGTATGGGTTTTTGAAAATTCGCACAGAAACGGTGCGGGTGAATTTTCGGACAATTCCATTGAAAATTTTGGCTACAATCATCAAAATACCGAATGTCGGGGATACCGTTGTATGGGGGCTACACGATAACGTGGACCTATATAGACAGTTCTCTTCCAGGGGGTAATGAGCTCAGAAGGAACTCCTGTGTGGATTTTAATACAATTCCATTGACATTTTGACTACAATGACCAAAATACCGAATATCGGGAGGTACCGCTTTATGGGGTACGTACGATATCATGGACCTATTGACAATTCTCTTTCGGCGACTAAAGTACTCAGAAGAAACTCCTTCTGAATTTTTGTATGGGTTTTGAAAATTCGCACAGAAACGGTGCTGGTGAATTTTCGGACAATTCCATTGAAAAATTTGGCTACAATCATCAAAATACCGAATATGGGGGCTACAAGATATCGGGGACCTATATCGACAGTTCTCTTCCAGGGAGTAATGAAGTCAGAAGGAACTCCTGTGTGGATTTTGATACAATTCCATTGAAAATTTTGCCTACAATCACCAAAATACCGAATATCGGGACTGCCTTATGGGGTATGTACGATATCATGGACCTATGTAGACAATTCTTTTTCAGGGACTAAAGTACACAGAAGGAACCCCTTCTGAATTTTTGTGTGGGTTTTTAAAATTCGCACAAAAACGGTACGGGTGATTTTCGGACAATTCCATTGAAAAATTTGGCCACAATCGTCAAAATAACGAATATCAGGAGGTACCGCTGTATGGGTGCTATACGATATCGTGCACCTATGTAAACAATTCTCTTCCAGGGGATAAAGTACTTACAAAGAACTCCTTGTGTAAAATTTCAGACAATTGCATTCAAAAATGTAGTAAACTTCTCAAAATGGCAAATATTAGGTTGTACCGTTATATTGGGGCAATACGTTGTCCGATATAGCCTATCTTCGAACTTGACCCTCCTGCCGACAAAAGTCTGATCTGTGCAAAATGTCAGCTTCCTATCACAATTCGGGCTAAATTACAAAAGGGCTAAATCGTCATAGATTTTTAGGCTGATCAAGAATTGTTATTTCGATGGGTTATAAACGTAATAGAGAACTTATACTAAATAGGGTGGAGGGTAAAAAAAATCACACTTAAGCGAAGTGCGAGGATAGAAACTATCGGTCAATTTTTTTCATACCTCCCCCCTAACAGTTCATCATTTTGAATATTTTTTTTTGTAACGTAAACTGACTTCACTGTTTCCGGTTTTCTTTATATCATGTTCAAATAAAAAAAAATAAATAAATATTTCAGGCCCCACAAAATATATAAATCCTTTAGAGTATACAGTTTGTCAAAGCTTCCTAATTCACTCTTCGGAAAGAACAGCAATTTCATATTTAAAATTTTTTTCGATGCAATAATTTTTTCTTGGCTTTTGACCGAAACCACGAGGGCATATAAATCTCTTGCCCTATGTCTTGTAGAATGTAGATTCATCTACATGATTTCCTGTATTTCCAATATTTGGTTATATTCGTCAACGAAATAAGCAGCCATATAAAGGTCAGAGGTGCGCCTTTCATGTAATTGTGATCTCGTTATAGTATTTTCCACACAAAATTGTGGCCCATTTCACCTGCTAAATTTTTTCCGCTGACCATCCAAAAAAATATTAACTTTTTTACTGACATATTTTTACCCAATTTTCTTAGATTTTATCCTTTTGGTATACCTGTAGTACGTATTTTCGTATTTAGAGTAAAATCTAAATAATAATTTTCTATTTTCCTTTTCGATTAGTAGGTCTAATGATTATACAAAAATATTAGATGTTCTATTAATTTTTGGAAAACAAAAGATATATAAAGTTACCCCGGTTTTAATAAATCATATTCTAAGAAAATAAGAACATTTCTTTCATAACCCACAAACATTAACCTTTACACACATGCATCCATGTGTTTCCCAAGAAATTATTTTAATATCATAACAAAATAATAATGAAAATGGTAAAACAATTATAAAAGTTCATTATATATATATTTTCTCTTTGTAGGCAATCTCCCTTCGACATCATTAACTTGAAACCAGTTCTCATCCGGCAATGGCATTCCATGGAACAGACATTTTCCCATTAACTTTTCCACACAAATTAAGTGTTGTCGATTTGGTAAGTTAGAAATTGTGTGTGTGAGTGTCTGTGTTTGCTGTACAAAATAGATTTGTATGTGCATAGCTATAATTAATCTTATTTGATTGTTATACAATTATATAGAAGAATAAATATTATGTATGAAATTGAGGAAATAATAATATATTGAATTCCATGGGGTTTGCTAACACAATGTTAAAATGTTTATGGTGATTTACAATACAAAAAATACAAAGGACGATTAAGATATTTTGGCCTGACCTAACGTTGTATATAAATACCTATGACTCAAATAGATAAAGTCGTTTTCGTATCACAGTTATCATTACAATTTATTACCATATCCGTTCCAGTTCATATTGGAGACATAATTGGTAGATTTTCAGTCTTAAAGATACATTTATCAATTTTAGATAGAGTTCGAAATACCGAACATATCGGTCGATTCTTTTGGAACTTCGACTATAAATGGTTATAGGCAGAGGGTATACATCTGTTGGAAAACCCGAGTTTTTAATTTGTTTTTTAGAGTAATATTTGATATAAAGAATTAAACGGCTGCAGGGCAAAAAAATGCGTGTTCTTATAACCTACTATGTTTTAGCGTATTACAGTTTGATTTGAACAAACAGATTATAATACTTCCCATCTAACCAAAGTGAGTCGGACTACAATTGCAACCTGAAGTTTTACACAAATTGAGGTAGGGTCAGGATATAAGCATGTTGTTTTTGGAAAAAATATTCCCGATTTTACAGTTGCTCTACAGGTCACAATTGTAGACAACTATAGCAGAGCAGAAGCCATAATGAATGAACTTTTTTCAATTTAACTCACAATATTGAATTATAGATTTTGTAATACTTTTTTACACTCTACAATACTATATGTTGAGAGTATTATACATAGGTCGCAATGTTCGTCCGATTTTCACAAAATTTTGAATGGGGTTGAATTAGAGTGAGAATATAAGCCTACTGCTTTTGAATTTTTGGTTAAAATTGACCAAAAACTGAACATTTCCCTAATTTTACAGTAGCTTTGCAGTTCACAATTGAGCATCAATCGACAGGGATATTCGCGAGAGGTTAGTAGTGTAAAGATAGGGCAGAAGCCTTGCATTTTGGATGGCCATAGGATAATTATATATTAGCAAAATGGACCCTAACTTTTGTATGAAAATTTTTATACCCCCACCCATATGGCTATTTAATTTGATGCGGCCAAAACGTGCGCAATAACGGTCTTAGACCTTAGGTCTCTTTGGACCAATTCCGTTTCAGGACTTGATCTAGGGGTGTTCGATAATTCTCGATAGGAGTATCCGATTTGACCCAGACTTGTTACATCGTAATACTACTATCAAACTTAGATCGGGTGCGGAGATGGATAATATCGGTCCACTCCTTCTGGTAACTCCACATCAAAAGGTCCATATAGTCCAAGAAAATAATTTACCTCATAGAATAAAAAAAGGATCATCCAATTTTGTGCAAACTTTATAAATCGTAATATTTTTATCAGTGCCAAGTCAGGCGCGAAAAGGACAATATCGGCCCACTCCATCATGTACCCCCCATCCCACAAAGGGTAAACTTTTGGAATAAATATAACTCTTTTAAAACGTGATGTAAGAGTCCGACTATCTTCAAATTACACACATCACAATATTTTTATTAACCCAAAGTCTGGTGTGATGATGGAATAAATCGGTCCACTCCATCAAGTACATCCCCCACAAAGGGTCAAAATTTTGAATATCCTGAAGCTCATAATATGCGAAATTATCATCTGATTCCATTCAGACTTGACACATTTCAATATTTCTACCAGCACTAGGTCTGTTATAAAGATGGTAGAGATCGGACCATTCCTTCTGGTACTCCCCCCCACAAAGAGTCAAAGCTTTGAATAACCAAAACGATTATAAAAACCGTAATAAGCATCAACATCTCTTCATATTTCACCCATTATTTCTACTATTAGAAAATCTGCTGTGGAGATGGGGTATATGGGTCCACTCCTTACGCTACATCCCCTAAGGGTCCGCTCAAAGGGTCCAAATTTTGAATATCCGTGAAACTCATAAAACGTGAAATTAACATCAGACTTGGTACATCTCAATATTACTATCAACACTAGATTTGTTATAAAGATGGTAGAGATCGGACCACTCCTTCTGGTACCTCCCCCATAAAGGGTCAAATTTTTGAATATCCATGAACATCCAACATTTCCATCAACACAAGACTTATTACATATATGGTAGAGTTCGGCCCATTTCTTCTGTCTCGTCCCCCAAATTGGACTCAACATCTTGATAAACAAACAAGTAAGCAAAGACTATAATCGTGCGGGGCCGACCATGTGATACCCTACAACACTATAATATGTTAGAAGCACTCTTATGTCCAAATCCATTTTGGAAGACTCCGCTTTTGAAATTATGTAAAAGAGCATTCATTGCCCAGATATTACCCTTAGCTTTTTGTCAAGGGTCATTTTCCCAATATTTATCCACTCCGTCTGTTGTTAGTTGTCGTGCAAGAGGTTCCACTGTATTGCCAAATTTAGACTAATCTTCTCTACGATATTTGGCTATATTCGTCAACGAAATCAGCATAAAAAGCCAGAAGTACGCCTTTTGTGTATTTTGAATTTCGCCTGTAAGTTATTTTCAGCGTTTTGGTAGAATGGAAATGTTGGTATTTTTATACCCTACACCACAAGGTGGTCAGGGTATTATGTCTTTGTGCATTTGTTTGTAACAGGCAGAAGGAAACGAGATAGACCCATAGTTCCTTTTGATGATCTGCATAGAATCACATTCTGAGTCGATTTATGCATGTCCGTCCGTCCGTCTGTCCGTCCGTCCGTCTGTCCATGTATTTTTGTAAACAAAGTACAGGTCGCATTTATTGCCCGATCCAGATGAAATTTTGCAAAGGTCTTTTGTTTGGCCTAAGGACGAACCCTATTGAAATTGGAGATAATCGCTCAAAATTTGGATATAGCTCCCATATATATCTTCGTCCGATTTGACTTTTATTGTGCACCAAACGTGTAATATCAGCCCGAATTGTATGGAATTTTGCACATACACCCATATTAGGCCTGAAAATATGTATGCCAAATTTGATCGAAATCGGTTCAGATATAGCTATAGCTCCCATATATATTGTTCATCCGATTTGTTATTTTTGTCCACCGCCACCGTAATATGCACTATGCAACAACAATATTTGGGGAAATATATCAAATACAGCTCAGAAATACATTTGCTATTTTTTATCGAGATCGGTTCAGTTTTGGATATAGCTCCAATATATAACATCGTCCGATTTACCTTTTATTGTGCACCAAACGTCTAATATTTGTCCAAATGGGATGGAATTTGGCACAAACTACCGAATTTAGTCTAGTAGCTAGTATGTCAAATTTGGTTCAGATCGGTTCAGATATAGTTATAGCTTCCATATATATTATTCATCCGATTTGTTATATTTGGTACCCACAACCGTAATATGCACTCTGTAACAACGATATTCAGGGAAATATATCAAATACAGCTCAGAAATATCGTTGCCAAAGTTTATCGAGATCGGTTCAGATTTGGATATAGCTCCCATATATATCTTTATCCGATTTCAAATTAATTGTGCACCAAATGGGCAATACAATTCCGAATTTAAAAGATACAAATGCTTCGGCATATTTAGTCCTTTGAACTTTAAATTATAATTATAATCATAGCGTGTATGATTGAATTCTCCCATAGAAACTTTTAATTGTTATGTGGATCTCTACTTAATTAGCAAAGTGGTGTAGGGTATCATAAAGTCGGCGCCGCCCGACTTTAAGACATTCTTTACTGGTTTCACACAAAAGTAGTGGTCCATTCAACCCGCTGTGGTAAACTCTAACTTCATGCGAGATTTCGTGTCATATGGTTTCTATTTGTGACCTTTATGACAGCTGCAAAATCAGGATCATTTTAGTTGTTGATCCATTTCAACCCCTAAATATATTACGATAATGGGCCTAGCCCTTCTGAGCCTAACCCTACCCTCGTGAAATTTTTAGTGAGGATCGGACTATAATTGCAATCTGTATGTAACGATCCCAACCTGTGTTGTAAGGTGAAAAAATATTACAAAATATTCACTTCAATTTTATAAGTCGAATTGAAAAAATTGCATGCGATAAAAAATATGAAAAAATAAAAATATGTCACAAATTACTACAAAATCTATATTAACATCATTATTGGCCTCTTTTTATGCTTTTTTTTTTTTCTTTTATGCCAAGAGGGCATTCTGAATTGACAACACTTGTCAAAATCGGTCCAGCTATTCTTGAGATATAAGCATACTATATTTCGCTATATATATCCGATATATATAACGGTCAGAATTGACCTGTTCGCCTATTTGTGATTTTGCCGGGATTAAAATATTCGCGGTTTAATAGAAAACTTGACTTTTATTTAACAGAAATGTTATGGTATATTTCACCCACTAAATATTACCCGATTGTAAGGGTTCTACCCAGCCTGAAGCTCTAGCCCCATGCTAACTTCCGCTTCGATTGGTCTATTATTGCGTCCTGTAGAGCAACTGCAAAATCAAGAATTTTTTCAGTTTTTGGTCCATTTCAACCCCCAAAATATTATGCGATCATTTCTGGCTCTAGCCCGACTTCCATTCCAAATATTGTGAAGATCGGATCATACCGGTACCTCACTCACAAAGGGTCACAATTTTCAATTCTATTATCTGTCATAAATTGCGAAACAAGTCAGCGATTTTTCTAAAAATTATCATATTTCTCATATAAAGTGAAGGAAGCAACTTGGCACTTCGCAATATTTATATCATATTTATTTAGGTCCGATACGAAATGGAAAAATTTTGTAGTACAACTTACTGAACATATTTATTTCGAACAATATTTCTTTCTTTATCTTTCCCCTTACTTCGTTCCCGAGAACTTATTTATCATTTTACTACTATAACATG